GTGTAGGCGGAAGTTTAACGGCAGGCTAGTGCGGAATTCCCGTAGATTTCGATGTACGCGCCCACCTCCGCCCCACATACGAGACACGAAAGATTCGGTGCCTCGTTGGGGAAACTTGCCCGAGATGACGGCCCTCACGACGAAACTTGGGTTCTTCTCTTTCTCTGTCTCGTCGTGTTTCCTTCTCGTTCCTTCAGCCTTGATATATTCTTCCTCTAAAACCCCCTCTGTTCCCCATTCGCCAGCTTCGCGAATTATCTGAGTCCCGAGACGCTAATCTCACATGTACGACGACGAACGAAGCAAGAAGAAAGAGATTTGAACGTCTTTGGGCCTAAGGGATGCCATCTCGTTTGCAGTCAAACGAGTTACACTACGAAGTATATCCGTATATTCTGCGTTTTAATATATATCTTAAAATACATAAAATGATTTGGAACAATGGCTATACAGTTAGAAATAATTCCGCATTATTTCACTGGAACAAATTAATTTTACTATCGAACGTTTAATTAATTTGTCCGTACAATTAAAATCTCATTATCATATCTCATTAACGAAACCTTTTCGTGTGTATTATTTATTTCATATAATTTACACACTGTTTAATATATAGTTTGCTACGATTATTTGATACATAATCTTTTCATCAAGCGCATTTTAATAAACGTCGTTTACAATTTATTAAAATTGTTCATCCCCGATACGCTGGGAAATGTGAAAATTTTTTAAGCTTTATTCATATCTCGACATATTTATAAAACTATTCGCATGATTATTTTGCCTTCTAAATCAAGTATCAACTTTAGAGATACCCCCTATATACACACCGTGTACGTAATTTAGCGTTAGCCATGCTCGATCGAAGCACAGGTATCCTGGACGCGCCTTTAAGAGTAGTTGTTATCAAAGCTTTGCATACCCGATTATATGCGGCTCTTGTTCCCGTGTAAACTCTACCGAGCGAAGAAAACGCGCAACGCTTTTCGATCGACTAAACCTCCTGGAGGCGACGCTTATCAGCTGGCCGGCTTCGCGCGCAGTAGACATAGCCGTCTCGTGTCAGCCAGATAGGGAAATGGCTCGCGCTGCGCTCCGACGCGCGTTTGCTTCTACAGACGGCAGATGTGCAAAAGCCTGGATGATTGATCACTGACACTCCCAGTACTGTCATTATCGGAAGTGTCATGTAGGTGATCGTTTCAAGACCGATTAGGATAAACCTTTTTGCCTTGAACAATCTATTTGCAATATTTCAATTGAAATAATATGCCTTTTAAGTGTCAGTATTTTTAAAAAATTTGCACGAAAAAATTTTGGCTCCTGTCTGAATCTGAGAAATCTGCAAAATTCTGCGCTTAAAGCAATTGAGTTTGAATTTAATTAATAAGCGACAGCGAAAGCACACAAAGTCTGCGAAAGAATAAATACAATTCCGAAATTAAAACAGCATGGTTATAGGAAATTTTCGAGTTACGTTGGATCGAGATTCTGTTCTCAAGTTGTGTACGAACTCATTTTCAGGTGTCTGAAATTTATTGGTTTATGTCGAACTTCACCGAGTTTCTGATTACTTGTAAATATCCGATTAGTTTCGAGCGTAGGAAAATAAATGGATTACCGCAAGACGTGGAAAATGAGGATTTAAGCTTATCCTTTGGGTAAAGAAGTTATCAGAACGGCATCGGGCGCATTTATTTACATTCAAAACTTTATACGTATAATATATAATACGTTATATATATACGCTATATATAAATGTTTATATATATATGGTGTAAGAGCGTTGAAGTATTAGCTCCCATTTTTCGAAAGCATATAATAATATTTTTGAAATATATTCTGAATGAAATATATTGTTGCGATATATCTTATTGTACACATTATTCTTTATTCTGCTATATTTTTCTATTATTACTTTTCTATATTATTTGTTTCAATATAAATCTACACATAGCACAATTTATATATAGATATATATGAATCTCTTGGATTTTATTTGCTTTCTAGCGAAATTAAATTTAATTAATTATGTTGAGATTTAATTTAACCAAGTACATTACTAATTGCCAGAATAAATGGTTGGTAATTTACAAAATACATTTTAATATTAAAATATCTTATAATTGGACAACTGCATCAAGTGCATATAAATGACTTGTAATAGCGGCATAGAAATATTGCTCAGTTAATTGCGTGCAGCTTATAAGACTAACTTTTGACCAGTTCCTTGCTGCATTGCGTATGAAGATCGTGCAAACGATGACAGAAACGCACTTTGCTTGTGTGTACTTAAGTGAATCGTTTCTCCAAAACTTTCCGAGGACTCGTGACACAAACTTACGAGCACTGGGCTCATGTAGTTGGCTGAAGAGTTTTTACATCAAAAACTCCCTGGATTTCGTCGCGGCTTAGACCTCACGCACTTTTCAGGTCGCGGCGGACGCTTTCAATCCCTCTGAAAGGCTCTTACTGAAAATCCATAAACGGTACCCCACATAAGCTGTTTTTATGCTTACATTGCATTTATACGCGCCACGTAAAAATCTGATTCCACGTTTACGAAGAGTATGGAAGTTCTATTCAGCAACTTGCTTGTATATACATTTCATATAAATATACGTCTCTGGAGCAACTCTGTATAAATTCACTCGGCATTTATTATGTTATATATTTGTATGAATTTAATACGAAAGAGGTACTATTATGGGGAAAGAGATACTGGTTTTTTTTTTATTAGATTTCACTTACACATTTTCTAGCAAATTTAAAATAGTATGAAAAAATAAATTCTAAAATAGTCAATCTGTATAGTTGAAAGAAAAGTTTTGATGAATATTTTGTATGTTAATATTTCACAGGATATTTAAATATGCATGAGAAAAAGTATTGCGTATGGCGCAGCATGCGATATCAATCGTTACAGATGAGCAGATTATATTCATCATTTTTTATGTACAAGTGGGGAATATTTCAAAAGTAATATCAACGATCGCTATCGAGTGAGCCGCTTTCTGGAATGTTTGCGATTTTGCCACCGTTCGCAAAACTCTCGTACATTTTGGAATAAATTTGATAGGAGCAGACTGGGGAAACGTACATGGTAAACCACGACGATTGATAAGCGACCAAAGGAGATTTCGGTCCTCCTCAATTTTCAAACCTGTCAGAGCTTATTCCACTTTAGTCACTCTACCTTCGCGCTACTGCCGTTACAGAAATTCATTCTCTTTTGCACCCGTAGTAATTTCATTTCGTTCACACCCGGTTTTCCGCGGGCGGCTGGTTGCTTGATTCGTACGTATTACTCCCTGGGCCGTGGTCGACAGAATTGTTTTTAGGAAATTGACTTTTCCATCCGGCAGAAGGAACAATGCCCCGCGGAGGAAAATCCACTGACGTTCCACTTAATAGCGCTCCCCCTCCCCTTCACCTTTTGCGCGCCAGAGTTTCCATTTTGAAAGGGATTTCAACAGTTGACATGCCTCGCCTTGCCAACGAGATTTAATCTTGGACAGGAAGAAAAATGTCGTTTTCTGCGAAATCCATCCCTAATAATCTATCATATTTTAAATATAAAATCTTTTTCTACCTGAATATAGAGCAAACTTCTTTAAAGAAACATGAAAGAGAGAATGAAAGATGCAATTATTTTTTACTTTGTTACTTTCTTTATATCTTTTTTTCGTTTTTTTTTTGTAACTTATAAATTTCACAAAATAGAAATTATATTTATTTTTGTCTGCCACAGATTTAAGGAACAGTATTTGGTTTTAATCAATTTTATCAAATTCATTCATAAAATATATATAAAAAAATGTTTCTCTTTCTGAGACAAAAAAAATTCAATACTAAACCATTCATAACTGAATATTTAAATTTTTCTAAAAAATTAGATAATATCTTGTTTTATAATATAATTTTTTAGTCTTTATTCATATTTCAACCGTTTGCTTGTAGAGTTTTAGAAGTAATTCATTCATTTTTTTTCTTGTATCATATATAGAATGCATGTAGATTAACTGAGATATTTTTAAAAGCATTTTTAAAGAATATGTAGTCGTGTGTATATATACAGTATGATTATACTTTGGATTACAACGATATTCACGCATGGGATATCTGTCAATGTGTCAACGTTAAAATCATGCTTATTACCTATATGCGCTTAGTTTTCACGTATGTTACATTCATGGACGATAATGTGCCAAAGCGTACAAGCCGAACTAAAATTAACTGATTATCGGCGACATATTTCTCGACGAATTTGATATCTATTCACCAGATTTTGTGCGCGTTTCTGTCCGACAGACATGTGTCGTTATCACCGCTGTTATTGATTATAAGCGTGTCGATGTTGGACGTAGCGTTTGCGTAGCATAATGATGACGTTTTAATGATATGAAACATAACGCAGAATGTGTTTACTAATCAATATCCAGGGATGCCAAGCGCACCACATTATCCAATTCATATCTTATTTCTTTTGTTCATAATATACTCTGTGCCATTGTACAGATTTCGTATAAATTATTTAACCTAAAAAAATAAAGTTTCAACGAGGACGATACGCTGATACGTGCCATCGTTCTGTGCAAATAGAGACCATGTAGCGCATATAAATTCTGCAAAGATACTAAAAATTCGAATGCAGCGTAGAGAGAGTTTGTGGTAAAATGTTCAACTTGGAAAAGCTTCCTCTCTTTTATTGAATTTTTTTCTTTTTTTGCGATATGATGAATAATAAAAACCATAATCCAATTTTAATGCATAGTTTTAATTTTAAATTGTTACAGGAAAGTTTTTCAAAGAGACTATTAAAACCGATATCTCGATCTATTGTATTGAACATCATTCTTCAACTTTTTTTCACAATAAAATATCGATATTATAGAAAATTTTATTTCTTCTTTTAATACATTTATATCTCAGTTACATTGTGTTATATTTTTTATTTAACACACAATATAAATAAAATGTTTTTTTTTTTTCATATAAAATATTAAAGCATAAAAAGTTGAAATGTCACTGAAAAATTGAATGCAATATAAAAAAAAAAAACTTAAGAAAGCAAACTTTTGATTTATTCATCGATATATTATACAAGTATCTGAGATATATGTATAAAGCATTTATCATATATATTTTAGTACTAAAAGTAATTTAATTACGCTTTTATTCATTGTTAGAAATTATTTTAGCCTTGTCAGAGATTGCTTTATAATAGTTAACATTCCAAAAACGGCGCTTGCCAATTGTGGTGAGAAATAGTAACCTTTTTCTAACATATGTTGCAGTAACCTCAGAAAACGGAAGCGACTCACACACCATGACGTTTGTGACAATACTCTGCCTGGGCATGCTCCATCTGCTTCTGAGATAGTCACGGCACGTCTGAGACTACGAGAAGGGAGCTCACGGGCGTCGCATGATAAATAGTACACTAGTCAGCAAGAGGAGGGGCTGGAGGAACAGACGAAGAAGTTTAAGGACCGCGTATGGATGGCGCAGAAACAAATAATATTGTTAAATTGATAAATTACTTAAACATTTTTCTTCTTTTTTTCTTATCTAGTGCATTGAATTATATTTTTTTTATTTTTTTGGCACGCGTTTTAAGATCGTGAATTCTGCATGTTCCCCGGGTTTTCGTTTGTAAGATTCTTGACAGTAATACGGTAATAACTTTCGACTGGCGTTTTTCGGCTCTTTGAACACTGCTAAAATTACTGCCACCGGTAAGATTAGACCAAAAGAACGCGACGCTTAACATTTGATACCTTGCCGACAATGAGATCGTTGATTGTTGCCGTTATATATTTTTCAATCACATTTTTTATATAGCTTATTATTTTGTAAGACGCGCCTGTATGCGCGGATTGTTTTTCGTTTGTCTTTTCAATGGTATACGGAGGGATAGAAGAGAACGCGATGAGCGCGCGCGTTACCAGTCAAAGACTAACGTGTATCCCGAATTGGATCGTGACTAGTGAAGAAATAGATAATCGGGTAAAATAACGTGCATCCAAATTCGTTGCTGAAAGACTTGCTGCGATGCGCTTTACAACACGATAAACCGAAGAAACGAAGAAAGCGTAGCCAATTAACCGCGTTCGATTATTGCCACGACGCACAATTTGAGATTCGATGAGTAATGAAAAGGGATTCGTCCAAGGATTGAGCGACACCGAGAAAGAAGGGAAAGGGTAGAACTTTGAAGTCTGTTGCACGTATACACGTCTATAGGTGCTTGTACAGCCCGCCTCTAAAGGATTTGCGATCCTTGCCGCGAGAAAAAGAGAGTGTGTGTGTGTGTTGTGTGTGTGTGTGTAAGAGAGAGAGAGAGAGAGAGAGAGAGAAAGAGAATTCTGGAGAGAGAGAGAGAGAAAGTGAAAGACGTTCTCTTCCGCTACATCACTGACAAGAGACCCGAACCGAAGAGATCGCACAAAGGAAGAGGAACGGATAAAGCGGTGCGAAAAGTTTTCGCATACCAAGCGAGAGAATTCCGCGAAATCGTACTTCTCTCGTATCCCAGTAACAACGTACTCGATGTGCGCATTCGAATATCTCCCTGTTACGCTCGCCTAGGACGAACATGGCCGTCATGCGATGGAGAGTCCCATTTGTCCATTGTCCAAACGCTCCCGGGCTCGCTCGCGTAGTCGGATCAATGTCGCGAATTTCGAAGCGGAGGACTCTCTGAACGCGCGCGCGGAATAGACTACTACAGAGCTCTTTTTTTCTAAGTTGTCTTTTTTTTTTTTTTTTTCTTTTATGCATGCAAGAGAACGACGTGGCTATTACTGCGGACGAATGCGACTGTGAACGAGCAGGTATGTATTTACGTCATTTGTTTATTTTCCAATCGCGATTCGCTCTAATAATAAGTCTGTTGCTCGGTTGGCGCTCTTTAATAGCGGTATACAAAAGAGACCAATTTTGATCTCGAAGCTATTTTTTTTTTCTCTGTGTATTTCTTCTTTTAATGCAACGGGATATATATGTTCTATTTTCTTTACTATCTTAACGCTTTTCTATAAACTTTGCAATGTAACATTTAAACTAGACAGATATCGATCTTCGATGTTCGCGTCAAGTTCTTGGGCGAGTATTTCGAAACTACTTGCAAATATACGACGTCGTCGGGCGTATAATTTTAGAGGTAATCGGTCGGTACCGAGATCGATTTATTGAAGGAGATAGAGGATGAAGCAAGGCGCTGGAAAGGCTGACACGAACGTTGCGTTTCTCATTCTTCCCCCGTCTGTCTCCTCTTTATTAAACGGACGATAAACCTCGCGAGCGATTCCGCGTGTTTATAAGCCGACTACATAAGCTGCCGCGCAGCTGAACAGAGAAATCGCGTCTGTATTAACTCCTATCTCTTCCCCTCAGATACAGAACGTCTCTTCCTTCTTCTCTTCCTTTTACTCTTGCTTTCCGCGTGCACACGACAGTACTTGCCATGATCGCCTACAAATCTTCGCGACATGATGCGTATCGGCGTGAAACTGCATAAAAAGCATCATGCGATGCTTATTTTTCACAAGCAGATTCGTCGATTTCCGATTGGTATGATAAATCGCGCCAAGTCGAAGGAAACGATATCGAGCGTGCTAATATTCCGTGCCACGCTCAAAACGAAGATCGAGTTTCAATATTCTCGAAGTGCGTTCTTCGAAAGTTATAGGATTAATAATTTATAGCGATATACTCTCGTAAATGTTACGTTATTAAGTTAAAAAATATGTAGAAATGCAGTGACATATACATTTTCGTGATCATGTTGTTAACATTATATTTTTAAATTCGAGCTATTTGCTTTCGATTTATAGAATGAAAAGATGAAAAAATGTTACTTTGTGGATGAATGTATAAAATACGCTGTTGAATAATTTGATATTAAAATTTCATTTACAAATGTTGACTAAAATATAGCTTAGACAGGACTTATTCTTATGAGAACAGTTGATCTTTATGCTTGAGGTGGAAAGCTTTTATAATATTAAGTCAGATGAAAGAGCTCGATGTATTTTATTGATAGTTTACGATATTTCCAAAGAAGTATTTATATATAATAATTTTTCCGAAATAAAATTAAAATTGTAATTTGATGCAACATAAGCTAGAAGTATGAAAAATAGAAAATATTTCGTTAAGCCAGATTTTAATTCTATACTTAAGTCTCTATTTATTTTTAAGATCTCTTGCACAAATCATCGCATTATTATTGTTTTTGGGCATTATACTTTAGTTAATGTGTACATACTTATTTTTATCATATACAATAAACTACTGCATGTGAAACTACTGTCTTTCTGCCGACACACGATCGTCTCACGAACAGTTATCTTTACAGTCTTATTTTCAGCCCGTGGAAAACGTGGGTATCTCGTTAATGCGGACGTTTTCATTCCCCGATAATTGCACCCGCAATCAGATCGAAGAATTTCCACGAACGCGCATAAATATATCCGCTTGGCGGTGCTTGCCCCACATCCGACCTCTCGCCTCCTCGCACAACGATACCGTGCGCGCTCGCGACTTCTGAAATTCATTGCCCAAGCACCGAGTCTATAGACAAAACCCACAATTAACCCGAATCGAGATCTCTACGCTCTCACCCTTTCTATACAACTCGATTCCGGGCGAAGTCTTAGAAGGAGCACGGCGCCCGTCCTCGTGCAAGCTCGAAGTTTGCACGACGAATATACGGTGCGCGCAGGCAAGCAGGTACATCCAACCGCCGAGAAGATAGCGTGTACCGCACGGGAAACCCGTTACGGTGTTTGTGCATCTCGTGTGTGCACGTGTATACGTTTGTTTGAGATAGTGTACGCGGCATGCGGTATGCGGTACCTATACGTTACTGCGCATTGCACGTCTGTACATCTCCAGGATAGTTCCTTCCTCACACAGACGCGACAAAGGAAACGACGTTTCAGTTAGCTGAAACGTCGTCGCCGTAACAATCACCACCTAGTCGGCTAGACTATCCTTCGTCCTCCCCGTCGCTCTTCGTCTCTCGTTTCGCCTCTCTCCTCTGTTTGCCCCCTTGGGTCGCGCGAGTTTCGTCTCCTCATTCTGTTGTGCCGATGTTGAAAGCCGAACTATGGCAGAGCGGGAGCGCCGCAAATCTGTACTCCGGCGGCTACTGCGGTACTCTCGCGGCGCTATTCGCCGGTATAGTGCGATTCGGTTGCTGTAGCTGATTCAAAATAAACTTTGTTTCGCCACTCGCGCTGATACCCACCTGTCTGACTGACTGGTTGGCTTGCTTGCTTGCTTGTCCGACCACTGTATATCGCACTCATTGCTGACGAAAGCTCTTCTCCATCACCCCGCATATCTGGAAGCAGCGCAGCAGCCACTCTGTAACTTCTCCCGCTCGCTCGGTTATTAATGCTGCGATAATATTTTGGCGCGATGCTTCGTTTCCAAATTTAGCTATACAAATTTACGCCAGCCGAGTGGTGTTCTCTCCTAGTCGTTTTTCAGATTATTATCTACTGATATGCTGCGCGACTGGTGTCTGAGCAAGGAATGAATCGATTGAAAATGCTCGTTCAAGTCTTATCAAGCGATTGAGCCAATCTTACGTAGGTATGTTATTCTCGAATGTAGTCGGATCTATCGTTGTCTAATTTTTTTTAGAGGCTTCGCTATTCGGACAGCAGTTCTGATTTCCAAACGTGTTATACACGCGAATTTTTAATCGTATTATGAAACGAAAATCATGTAATCTTTGCATTTTCAGTCGCAATTAGTAATATTTGCTCTAAAGAGCGAAATGAATTCTATTGATTTGATATGTGACTCGATTATATCGTATAATATCGATCGGGCTCTTTGTGTAAACTCCGTTAATATATTTAATATAACAGTAAATTAAACAGAAATTGAATAATCTTGGCAGAAATAAGGATGTAAGGAGCGAAAGCGCATCCTATGTTTCTCATAAATAATCTTCTGCTGTTATTACAAAGCGTCTTTTCTCATGATAGATATTCATAACATAGCCATAGCATCTATGGAAGTATAATTTGCAATTCCTATACGTATACGTAATATAATTTTGCAATATTTATTACACGAAATAGGAAAGAATAAATTTTACTACATTTAAAAAGGTTTATTTTTGCAGATGATATAAATATTTCGTTTTATTCTTATTTCCGTAACATATTTACTACAATCTCTTTTCTATAGAAGCAACTGCTTTGACTTCGAAGACAAGCATATTTTTACACTTTAATATCTCTTTATTCGTATTTTCCACAGTATTTTCCATCTACATCGATAAATAAAAGCAAAAGCATTTGTTCCATATTCGTAGGTTTTATCGCGTTGCCTCGGTTTCAATATACATAGATATATATTTTCTCTAAACTATCTTGTCTTACAATGTCGCCTTTGTTCGGAAAAACTTTCAGTGAAAAATTTTTTTAATGTTATAATTTTCTTAGTTTTCAAACTAACGTTACCATTAAAAAAGAGTGATAGTTATTTTTCCGCTTCTATTTACATTTTTAACGGTTCGTTGGCGTTTTATTAAATTGATCATTAACGTCGCTGTCATAAAATCATAATATATTATGGAAAAAATAAAATTAAAATAATAATTACTTTCTGATAAAGTAGGAAAATTCTAAAAACTTGAAAATACAAGATAGAGAAAGGTATAATAATTCCTTATCCTTTGTTTTGCGGTCACGTGTTTTTTATTCATAAAGCAAGAAGAAGAAACTGTAGCGAAAATGTATTTCCGTCAATAACCGGATACGACGGTGCTATTAATGCATGGGTATAACACACTTGTTTAAGAAGGCAGATCGCCTTCGTTTATCGAGAATCCATTTTTCGAAACTCGTCTGATCCCTCGCAATAGCCGGAAAACAACATTTATAAGCCGCTTTCGTGTGCTTTAGCGGACATTTTCTTACAGCCACGGTGACAATACGGGTGTCTATTCAACGGTACGGGCGCGCATTATCTTTGATAAAATACGGTATTAGGTATAACAGGAACGGCCGGAATTGGGTCGCGCGCGCGATCTTCAGCGTCGGTACCGATTTACTAAGGCAGAGTAATGGAGCCCGGGGTGCTTTATGCCCTCTTTATGTCGGTGGATCCGCTCTGGTACGACCCTCTGGATAGTTTCCGCGCAACGACCTTTCCACCAACGCGCGGATTGATACTACGAGAAGCAAATGTTTGCTCGCGATATCTAGGAGAAGAAGTCGACCTGAGAAACCCTTCCTGCTGTTGAAACGCGTACTTTACACGGTTTAATGAAACTCCATTCGCAGCTGTGAGTAGAGAGACGTGTTAGCACGCTACACCTCGCGAGAGAGATCGCGGCTTTTAACCGAACAAATCAATCAGATTGTGGTATTTGCTTGAGAAATTTGCTTTAAGTAAACGCGATACAAATGAAATGCATCGTTATACATAAAGTGAGAATAATAAGATAAAAGAAAGAAAAGAAAAGAGAGAGCAAAGAACAGAGAGTACCGATTTATATCAGATGCATATTATATATTTTATGCTTATAATTTTATATATGTACTTTCTCTTAAATAAGATATTTTTAATAAGATTTTTATAGAGTTAATTAAAAGAAACAATTTCTTTGAAATTTTATAATCACTACTTTATTTTCTTATTTATTATAATTTTAATTATATTAAATATCGCGCTATTTTTTTAACGATAAGATATTTAATAATATATTCGATGTTAAGAATTGTGAAAATCGATAATGCATATCTCTCTCTTTTGTAGTTTGAATTGATCTTAATACTATGACATGCAAGAATGAGTGGGGGGATGGCTTTTGAATTGTTGTTACAATAGACTACTTACTACGGACAGTATACGTGAAAGCTATTGTCGTTAAAGGCGCTGCTTATCCCTTTGCTTATGAAGTCCTTTGTTCAAGAGAGAGAAAGCGTATACATAGGATATTACTAAACTAAATTAGTTAATTTTGAATTCTTTATATAAATAAAATACGAATAATCGATAAATACAAAAAATATTCAAATGTTAAGAAATCTTAGAAAGTTTTCTGCCTCTTTTGATAACGAAGAGAAAATAGTGTTTCTAAAGGATACCTTAGAGAAATTGACCTACATATGTTGTTCTCCTCGTAATGGCGCTATTAACGTGTCCGGTAAATTGACCCTTATGTCACCTGTCGCAAGTTAATTGTCACGTTTAACATGCAATTTTACTTAACTACACCACTGCATGGAAAACTGAAAATGGAGTTTAAATTAATTTTTTCTGTACGATATTTTTATCCTACTTTTCATAATACTTATATTTTCTTAATGTCTTTTTTAGTCAAATATATAATTGAATAGAATTTTAATTGATTTTCTTTATTCTCTAAGATTCATTACCAGAACCGCGTCTATAGCTCCAAAAATTTTATTAGTAAATTATTCATGAATCAAAAATGTGCTAACGCTTATACGACCAAGTTTCTTGCTTGACATAATACGAGCGTAAATGGCGTTCGATGACAATTGGCTCGACATTATCGCCAATATCGTTGAATTGATTCGCGTTCCATTATTATCGTTTATCCATTTAAAATGCTTTCTCGATGGTGTTCGTATCCACAGTTGGAACGGGGTTTTCTATTCTTTTCGCAACCGTAAATCGGAGCGCACGTTTCAACATGATCGCGCACCAAGGAGCACGTAGCAACGTTCCGACAACGAAATAGCGAATTCGAACGAGCTGGCAGCTACAGGACGGTGACCTGACACGCTCGGGCTAAGTACCTGCCTATGGAAATTTAACGCGGCACTTCACCGGCGTGTTACATTTGTAATTCATCGAGTCGCCGCGTGCTACAGACAGCTTCGACGTACACGCCGTTTGATGGCATGAATTGATATTGATTGCAAATAGACGATTTTCGAGGAGGGGATCCGGATCCTGGTCCCTATCGTACTCTAATATAGTATGAGCTATTACTATCGCATATGTTCCATATAGTGTTATCATCATCATTGTTGTTCACTTGATTATCGTGTTTAGTTACTCTAGGAATTTTATATAATGACGACTATTTATAATGATACAGACTTTTAACTTCCGCATAATATTCTTAATAAGCACTCTCAGAGATTTCAATGAAATTTTCAGTTATATTATAATAACAGAGAGCGTATTTTTAACGTGTTTTATATTGTTAAATTTTAATGTTTTTTTTTTTTATAGATTAACAATTGTATTTTTGAAAATATTACTCAAACATATCCTCTCTTTCGGGAATGTGAAAATATTCATAACGCCGTAAAATATAACATATTTTACATCAATTTTCGCATTTTGACATAAAATCGGATTATTAACAAGAGTAAAATCACAAAATTAATGTATAAAAATATTCTATGTTAATATACAAAAATCACGATAAATCAGCGATGATGAAATGTTATTTGTTCTCTCTGATTCGTTTTTATTATTCTCTCATGTTCCAAGATATATCTACATTTCTCATCTTTTGTTACTACTCTCTTCTTTCCTTCTTCATTTTTCATATATTGTCTCATTCTCTCTATTCGGTAATTGTACGGTGTATAGAATGTATGCGTTCCTCGTATGTACATGCTCTCTCACGTTCGCATTCTCGTATACAGTACACACGTTTCCGCGCACGCAAGAAGGAACGTAATAGGTCTTCCTCCGGGTGCCCTATGTAAATTTGCACATGCTTGCAGTTACCGCCGTTGACTGTCCGTACGTTCCCGGGCGTGCGGTTGTGTGCGTCCACTTTTCCACCGACAGATTCCGAAGGGTCTCTCCTCCGTTCTGGTACGCCGCAACACGGCCGTAGGAACACGAATCATGCACGTTGCACGAACATCGCATTCCGACGTTCGTAGAATCTTCCTTCGCTCGAAAAATCTCCGTTTATTACGGTGCCGCCCGTGTTTCTACGTCGATCCGATTCTCGCGATTTTCGGAGCACGTACGTGGTTCGAAGCGGAAACCCTTCGGATTGGCCAACCGGTATCTCCCAGAGGTATCGGATGGCCCGCCGTAATTGAAATGAATTTCCGCTAGTTAGACCGTTAGAAGGCGGTGCTCATAGAGACGTCGAAAAAAACCTCGGCCGCACTTGAATTTACGAGCGAACTTAATACTCTTCTCGTCTGGCATCTCGTCCAGGGTGTTTATCGCTTGTCGTCCAAGCGTTTTAGCGAAATTTCCCCATTTACACGACGGAAACGACGTTAACTTGTAACTATTAATGTTACTTTGCGGCTATTGCCATCTAATGGCATTGAGGACCGGCGCTTTTGTATTCTATTATTGCGTTTTATCATCAATTCCCACCTGTTTTGTAATTCGCGCAAATTGTATAAATGGAATTTCTCTAGCCATTTGCATAATATTATTTATCCATCTTGATATTTAGTGGTTTGGTTTATTCTTTTCATTACAATGGCTAGAAATGTAAAATGTAGCAGATTGAAAAAAAAAGTATTAATTTTCAAATATTGAAAATAAATTCAGATATATATATGAAAAATTTTACGACACTGCATCTCTATATACGTGTATTGCAATTTGCAAACATGAAATTTTCAATTGAATTTCCCATTCAAAAATACAATTATACGTGAAATAAAATTAATTTTTTTTTATATACGCATATTTAAAGCATATAAATTATCCAAAATATTCTGAATTTTATTTACACATTTACGTGTTCTAATAATACAGATTATTTTAATATATTTGAATTATTTACATTTATATATTTAT